TAAAAAAAACATTCGGAGTTATTATTTTCCCCATGTACAATAAACATGACCTCAATAGAGATGGTATGCGATAATCAATGTTAAAAGAGAGTAAGCAAATCATGATGTTCTGAAAGTACCTGAAAGAAAATCAAACCTCTTGAGCATGCTAACAATATGTTGAATGAAGCGAGTCAACGAATCTATGGAAATAGAGCGAACAAGGAAAGAGCGGCTCTAAAGGATCTAAAACCAAAGAAGGAAAGGAGCTGCCAAGAAATCAAAGAAAGAAAAGAAGCTGTCCTGGAGGCAAAGAAGGAAAGGAGCACAGATTGTGGCAATCAAAATTAACAAAGGCTCCAACGGATGGAAAAGAAGACAGTATAAGAGAGCTAGAATCTGGATGAAGGAAAGCAACTTTTTTGGAGATCAAATTGACCGAGAGAGAGCATAAGGAATCTTGCTAGTGTAATTTAATAAGAAAAGAGGGCTTGACTAATTCGGGGAGAATTTAGCTCAAGTTGTTAGTGTTGGGGAAACACTGTAGCTGGATAGCTGGATTAGCTCGACAGTGAGTGTTGAGAGAAATTTATGTTGGCTGAACCTCAAGATATAAACATAAAAAAGTGGAATGTCAGAAGTTACAGGATCGTGAAAATTCTGGCCATGGATTAGTCGGCTTTGCACCTTGCTAGCCGGATACCACGTAAAAATATCGTGTGTCCTTGTGTGTGATTTGAGTTCCTTAATTTGTGTGTTGCTCTGTTTTTGATTGGCTTAAGAAAGTGCAAGAAAATAGAGGAGGCAACAAGGCTCGAGGAAGAAGAAGAAGCTCGCTCTGTCAATTCGCAAAACGCAGCCTAACTTGTGAGTTTAGCTTTTCAATAATTTGTTGGGTAAGTTTGGTTTTGGCTTAACCCATTGCTGCGCAGTTTAAGTTATTTGGGCCTAAGGCCTGACTTATTTGGCTTAACCCATTGCCTAAGGCCTGACTTACTTGTGAGTTTAGCTGTTCAATTTGCGCTTTCCCCTTTCTATCGATCAAATCCCTAGAACAATTGGCTTTCACTTGCTCTTGTCAAAGAACGACGAAGGTTGTTGCAAGAATTGGATTAGCGACAAAATCGAAGCGGTAAACCACACCTCGTGTAGAATCGTCTCGCGCTCAACGATCCAACACGTGGTATCAGAGCACGCTCATCAGCAAATGCAGGTTGAACCACCTCTGTGAGAATGAGTTCAAGCTCGATGAACAGGAATGGGGTCTTCATGGCGGATGCATTTTCGCAGACTCGGCCACCTAGATTCGAAGGTGTACATTATGGGGATTGGAGGAATATGATGGAATTGTTCATAGGTCCACAAATCCAGATCTGTGGAATATAGTGCTTGACGGACCCCTTGAAGTGAAGGAAGCGAGAGCAACAAAACTTGTGAACCTAGATCTAGTTTCTGGAATCCCGAAAATACTTAGCAAGAATGAGTTTTTCTGCGAAGCCTGTGCCAAAGGAAAGCAAACTAGATCTTCTTACAAAAGCAAGCAAGTAATTTCCACGACTAAACCTTTAGAACTGTTGCACTTGGATCAGTTTGGACCAAGCAATGTAAGGAGTCTAGGTGGAAAACACTACGCATTTGTTTTAGTTGATGACTTCTCCAGATTTACATGGGTATTCTTTCTTACTAATAAAGATGAAGCATTTCATAATTTTAAAGTTTTTGTTAAAAGAGTTGAGAAAGAAAAACAGTCGAGTGTGATCAGTATTAGAAGTGATCACGGCGGAGAATTCATCTCAGAAGAGTTTAACCTCTTCTGTGATGAGTCATGAATATCACACAACTTTGCTGCCCCCAGGACTCCACAACAGAATGGAGTAGTGGAAAGAAAAAACAGAACGTTAATTGATATAGCTAGAACTATGTTAAATGACTTTGGGTTACCAAAATACTCCTTGGGGGAAGCTATTAATACTGCGTGCTACATTATAAATAAGGCTCTAATCAGGTCAAAGCTAAGTAAAACACCTTATGAGCTGTGGAACGGTAGGAAGCCAAATCTAAGCTATTTTCATTCGTTTGGATGCAAGTGTTTCCTGCTAAATACTGAAGATAGTCTAGCGAAATTTGATGCAAAGTCTGATGAAGCAAGATATTCCTTGGATATTCAGTTCATAGCAAAGCATATAGAATTTTTTAACAAAAGAACTCACAAAATAGAGGAGTCCATTCATGTGGTATTTGATGAGTCTCCCAGTAAGTGTGCAGATTCGGTGGACGAGGATGATGACTTCGGATTAACTGAGAAGAACAATGAAAGTCACGAAGTTGGTTCTGGCTCAAACGAAAGATCAGAAGAAGGTGCAGCTAAAGGTGAAAAAGAAATGTTGGAGTCACAAGCTCCTTTGCATATACAGCGACGACATCCACCTTCACAAATCATTGGTGATCCCACACAAGGTATGATTACTAGATCTAAATCTGCTTCAGTACATACTGCATTTGTTTCTACACTTGAACCTAAAACTATAGAAGAAGCCTTAGAAGATGAAATATGGATAGAATCCATGGAGGATGAATTGGGTCATTTTGAAAGAATTCGAGTTTGGGATTTAGTGCCGAGACCTATAAATAGAAATATGCTTGGTACAAAATGGGTCTATAGAAACAAATCGGATGAAGTTGGTATTATAACTCGAAATAAATCCAGATTATTGCTTAAAACCTATGATCAGGAGGAAGGAATCGACTTTGACGAAACCTTTGTTCCTGTTGCTAGACTTGAAGCTATTAGACTTCTATGTTCATTTGCTGCTGCTGAAGGATTTAAATTATATCAAATGGATGTCATGAGTGCGTTTTTGAATGGTGACTTAAAAGAAGAAGTTTACGTCGAACAACCCCCTGGTTTTGAAAATCCTCTGTACCCTGATCATATGTATAAACTTAATAAGGATTTATATGGATTAAAACAGGCTCCTAGAGCCTGGTATGAAAAATTAAGTAATTTTCTCATTGATGAAGGCTTTCGCAGAGGTTCTATGGACAAAACCCTGTTCATTAAAACTTCTGGTCCACATTATCTTCTTGTTCAGGTTTATGTTGATGACATAATATTTGGGTCTATGACTCGCTAAAACACAACACCTAACAATGGCCAAGTGTAACCAATGAAAGGGACTGCAGTATAGTGGCTCAAGTGATAAATATCGAATCCACGGGTCTCTAGAGTTACTATTACTCAGCTTCAGTTTATTATTTAGCAAATCAGATTAAGATGAAAGAACTAAAACTACTCTAGCAAACTACAGTTAAAGTTAATCTAATTACAGGTTGGGAACTCACTTAGGTATGATTCCCCCTAGCCACTAGCCAGATTAACGATTGATGATCTCTAACCTGTTTCACTTTCATTCACAATGCGGAGAATCCTTGACTAGACCTTGAGTCTCGACTAAAGGAACAAGGCCCTCTTGAGTCAATTGCCTAGAGGGACGTATCCTTCTCTAGAACAACTGATCAAGGCGTTCTGAACTAGACTCCCTCTATCGAAAGGGGTTCTCAATCGATACAAAGCAGTGAATCAACCCTCGACTAAAGCAATCGATCCACTACTATCAATCTATGGTGCTCTATTGACCTAATCAGGTATTCCCTCTCATAGAATCAAAGCAGAATCAATAATCTCGACTAAAGCAGAATTGAATCATGAAAACATGCATAGATTGAATATGAACTCAAGATTATCCAGTCAGAGTACTCATACAATCATCCAATCAAACAAACATAGCTAGGGTTCCTCAAAACCTAAGTGAAGGGAAGTTACTCCATAGAGAAGAGAGAGACTGCAGTAAGAATCTTCAGATGATCAGTCTTCAAGTCCGGGCTTGTTCCTCGAGCTTCCAAGGCGAAGAAATCCTCCTTCTCTACTCCAAGAATGCCCTCAAATCGCCCTCTCTCTCTAGGGTTCGTCCCTTGGGTGTTTGGGATCCAAAACCCAGCTCTCCCTTTCTCCTTTGGCTGAAAATCGGGTTTTAAGCAGAAAATCCCGACTCACACGGCCAGGGTGGCACGGCCGTGTGGCTTACCCAGTTGCCCGTGTGAGTCAAAACGCTGCGTTCCAATTAGTTCGAATTCCAGGCTCTTTGCACGGCCGTGTGAACTTCCTTTTTGCCCGTGTTTGCTCACGCAGAATTCCACACGGCCAGACTGGCCTCTTGCACGGCCGTGTCGATCTTCTGCTTTGCCCGTGTCTGCTCTCGCAGAATGTCACACGGCCAGACTGGCCTCTTGCACGGCCGTGTGAACATCAGGGTAGCCCGTGTGACTTCCTTTGCGACTTGTCTCGTGCCGATCTTCGCCCAATCGACCCCGAACTCGCTCCTAAACCTTCATTCACTTGCCAGGACCTGAAATATCACAAACAAGCACAACCTAGCGAGAAATCGGTCTAAAACATGAGAAACCACATCTCAAACGGTGTAAGAACAGGGGTGAAAACATGTGTAACTAATGGTCTATCAAACTCCCCCACACTTAACCGTTTGCTTGTCCTCAAGCAAACCTAACTCAAACCAATGCAACTCTCCAGACCTCTATATCAACAAACAACCTAGATCGTAGGTAGAGGACTTCCTAGGTCATTTAGCAGCTTACGAGGTCAACCGACGCACAAGTCATCTCAAAGCTTCTTATCGAGTCGGTATCATGGCAAACAATGAACAAAGGACAAATGAATTGTTGATGAAGAGATTCTCAAAAACAAAAGATCATGGACTCACATTTTTCAAGGTGCTCTATTTTCTGCTTAAGGATGGTTGGAACCCCTTTTCTTTCTATTTTGCTTGTTTTCTGTTATTTTTCTTTTCTTTTTTCTTTTTCAAGGGTCCCAACCTGCTCTTACCGGCCATGCCAGGAGCGGATGTCTCGAGCCTCGTGCGGGGGAAAGACATGTAAGGGGGCTGGAGGTAGTAGGTGGAAATTGGGAACGAATTCCTGTCTCCCCTTACACACTTTCGCCCTATTCGCACGGGAGACGTTTATTTTGAAGCACATTTTCGAGCACCTGTTATTTTCAAAACATGATACAAGAGTCTATGACAGGCAGAGAATCCACAACACCACACAATTCAAGGGTCCTAAGATCACTAATTCACTCAATCAACCAACTCAATATGAAGAAGACATGAGACTTCTTAAATGCATCAACATCCTCCATAGTGCTACACTATCTCCCTAGGTTGCATATTACTATAAAGACTGTCAATTCAAAGCATACTGAGCAGGCAATTGCAAGGAAACACGTACTTGGAGCCCTCAAATTTAAAAATTTGGACAGTGGACTAGGCTCCAAGCACACAAACAGCAAACATTCACCCGCATAAATAATCGAACATCCCCCCACACTTAAGCACGACATTGTCCTCAATGGAGGAAAGATAAGGAGGGTAGAACGAAGTTACCAGATCAAGGGTGAATGATGATGAACGGGTCAGGCGGTGCCATCCAGAAAGAGAGAGTAATCAGAACACAAACACCACACAAAATCTCACAAAGGTTGAGTTATTGACTCTAAAATCAAATAGCAAACTGACTCAACCGAGGAGAAATAGAGACAGAAATGCAAACCGACTGGTTGGGTTGCCTCCCAACAAGCGCTTCTTTCACGTCGTGAGCCGGACGATGGCTCCTAAGTTTCGGTCCATGCTAGAACCTCCTTGAAGTTGAGGTTCTCGTCGATGAGGTGGAGTCTCAAGTCACGAGCATGTGGTGTGGCAGGTGATGAAGGCTCATGTACTTGATGCAGATGAAGTCTCCACCCTCGAGACCTCTTCTTCTCTTCTCTCGTCTCATTGCCCCAAACCAGATAAGACAGCATCGATTGACCACCATTGCATCCACCAAGAGGGACCGATGTCGAGGTGGCCTTGGTCTGGCAAAGAGACACTGCAAATGGGTCCTTGCTAAGCAGTTCCTCGAAGTTTGGTGGAGATATCACATGTAACTCATGGCCGGTGCAGGCCTCTTCCACCTCAACTTCATCCTTAGCCTGGACGCCAATTGCTTCTTTAACCTCCCTTCCTTCCTCATGTGGTATCACCCCTGGGAAATGATCAAGAACTTCTCCAGCTTCACTTTCGCCATCCTCCACAACTTCTTTCTGCACCCTTTCTTGCTCTTCTTCTTCTAGCACGTATTGGAGAGCAAGTTGCCAAGCAATTTCTTTCATGAGATCTTCTTGCATCTCCTCACTCATGCCCGCCTCTTCAAAGCTCAGTTTGGGGTGTGGGAAGGTGTGGTCGGCTACGACAGGACATTCCTGATCATGACCATCACGGGAGCTCTCCGTGACAACTTCTGTGTATTCCACAATGTCCTTGTTGCCTTCTTCTTCCTCCTCCTCTTCTAGTATGGTAGCAGAAGGGTGATCTGGAGCAGGTTGTGCCCAAGCTCGCTCAAGATCATCGACGCTCTTCTTAAGGCTCAGGAGGATCTCCTCTGTTTCACGATAGGCCTGGACACACTGATCCATCCTGGAGCATGTTCTCTCACAGTCTCGAGCAAACTGCTCCATGAGTAACTCCAGCGCCGATGGCCCTTCTGGTTGTGGGAGAAATTCTTCTTGATAATGAGGTTGTTCTTGATATGCCCAGGGGTCCGGTTGTTCTCCGTAGTAAGGGGGTTGGTACTGGAACCCGAATCCATAGTCTTCTCCGCCTTGATTGCTCCACGGAGTCTCGGGGTAATACCACCCAGATGGTGGTGGATACCCCCAATGATTGGAGAAGCCATTAGGATCCATGATTCAGATCTGCACCAACAAAAACAAAAACACCCAAGTGAAAAGCAAGGGTGGAAAAGAAAAGAAACGATAAACGCTAAAGTAACAAACTTCTGCCTTTCCTAATACTCTAGAAAGTCCCCGGCAACGGCGCCAAAAACTTGACTCGCTAAAACACAACACCTAACAATGGCCAAGTGTAACCAATGAAAGGGACTGCAGTATAGTGGCTCAAGTGATAAATATCGAATCCACGGGTCTCTAGAGTTACTATTACTCAGCTTCAGTTTATTATTTAGCAAATCAGATTAAGATGAAAGAACTAAAACTACTCTAGCAAACTACAGTTAAAGTTAATCTAATTACAGGTTGGGAACTCACTTAGGTATGATTCCCCCTAGCCACTAGCCAGATTAACGATTGATGATCTCTAACCTGTTTCACTTTCATTCACAATGCGGAGAATCCTTGACTAGACCTTGAGTCTCGACTAAAGGAACAAGGCCCTCTTGAGTCAATTGCCTAGAGGGACGTATCCTTCTCTAGAACAACTGATCAAGGCGTTCTGAACTAGACTCCCTCTATCGAAAGGGGTTCTCAATCGATACAAAGCAGTGAATCAACCCTCGACTAAAGCAATCGATCCACTACTATCAATCTATGGTGCTCTATTGACCTAATCAGGTATTCCCTCTCATAGAATCAAAGCAGAATCAATAATCTCGACTAAAGCAGAATTGAATCATGAAAACATGCATAGATTGAATATGAACTCAAGATTATCCAGTCAGAGTACTCATACAATCATCCAATCAAACAAACATAGCTAGGGTTCCTCAAAACCTAAGTGAAGGGAAGTTACTCCATAGAGAAGAGAGAGACTGCAGTAAGAATCTTCAGATGATCAGTCTTCAAGTCCGGGCTTGTTCCTCGAGCTTCCAAGGCGAAGAAATCCTCCTTCTCTACTCCAAGAATGCCCTCAAATCGCCCTCTCTCTCTAGGGTTCGTCCCTTGGGTGTTTGGGATCCAAAACCCAGCTCTCCCTTTCTCCTTTGGCTGAAAATCGGGTTTTAAGCAGAAAATCCCGACTCACACGGCCAGGGTGGCACGGCCGTGTGGCTTACCCAGTTGCCCGTGTGAGTCAAAACGCTGCGTTCCAATTAGTTCGAATTCCAGGCTCTTTGCACGGCCAGAGTGGCACGGCCGTGTGAACTTCCTTTTTGCCCGTGTTTGCTCACGCAGAATTCCACACGGCCAGACTGGCCTCTTGCACGGCCGTGTCGATCTTCTACTTTGCCCGTGTCTGCTCTCGCAGAATGTCACACGGCCAGACTGGCCTCTTGCACGGCCGTGTGAACATCAGGGTAGCCCGTGTGACTTCCTTTGCGACTTGTCTCGTGCCCGATCTTCGCCCAATCGACCCTGAACTCGCTCCTAAACCTTCATTCACTTGCCAGGACCTGAAATATCACAAACAAACACAACCTAGCGTGAAATCGGTCTAAAACACGAGAAACCACATCTCAAACGGTGTAAGAACAGGGGTGAAAACATGTGTAACTAACGGTCTATCAGTCTACATGTCCAAAGTTATGCAAATCCTTTGAATCAACCATGAAAAATGCTTTTGAGATGAGTTTAATGGGGGAGTTATGTTATTTCCTTGGACTTCAAATTAAGCAAACTCCTGCCGACATTTTCGTTAGTCAAACTAAATACCTTCAGAACATGTTAAAACATTTTGATCTAGGTAACCTTAAATCGGCTTCTACCCCTATGGGGTCAACAGTGAAACTCACCAAGGATGAATCTGGTACTAAAATAAATGAAAAACTTTACAGAGGAATGATTGGATCCTTGTTGTATCTCACGGCAAGTCGACCCGGCATTATGTTCAGTGTGTGTGTGTGTGCACGATTCCAGAGTTGTCCTAAGGACATCCATCTCTCTGCAGTAAAAAGAATTTTTAGGTATTTAGCGGCACTGCTTCTCTAGGACTGTGGTACTCGTCTGATTCTAGTCTAGATCTTCTCAGCTATACTGATTCATACTACGTTGGATGTACAGTTGACCGAAAAAGTACTTCTGGTGCATGTCGCTTCCTGGGTACATCTTTAATTTCCTGGTCTAACAAGAAACATGGTTCAGTAGCTCTGTCTACGACCGAAGCTGAGTACATAGCTGCAGAGCTTTGTTGTACTCAAGCTCTCTAGCTTAAATATCAGCTTGTAGACTACGACTTTTCATTAGAGTCTCTTCCCATCTTCTGTGATAACACCAGTGCTATCAATATTTCAAAAAATCCTATACAACATTCTAGAACAAAACATATTGAGGTAAGATTCCATTTCATTCGAGATTTGGTGCAAGAAGGAAAGATTCATTTAGAATTCACTAGCACCAATCTTCAATGGGAAGATATCTTTACCAAACCTTCAGGAGCTGACAAATTCTTGCCAATTCGACAAGAACTTTGCTTATTTTCTCACAGTGAAATCCTCGCTCTTAATTAGCAAAAAATCAGGGATATCATAGAACCCTTCCTTTCCCTATTCTTCTTCACTACATACCATCTTTTCAACTTCCCTTCCTTTAAAATCAGCTCCCTCCCTCTGCATCTTTTCATCACTATCTCCCATACCTTCACTTGAGTTTGTGAACCTCACCACAATTTTCTTTAAGCACAAATGGCTCCCAACAACCCTCAGCTTCATCCTTTTGTTGTGTTCAACAACAAAGGATTCCGCAACTCTGATGCCTATTCTAGGTACCTCAATCGGTTTTGTGATAGACCCATCTATCCACCTCTATCCATTCAGCCGTCTGCCTTCAACAAGTAGGACATGGACCTCCCTTTTCTCAACACAATCTAGGATGGGAGTCCATGTTTGAACATCAAAGGTTCATCCATTGTCCTGAAGCTGTCAGGCTGTTCTATGTCAACATCAAACGAGAGCGTGGTGCTGAACCCTCCTTGTTTACCACTCAGGTATTCAATCAAGAGATCACGATCACCCTTGCTCTCCTTGCTAGTGTCATTTCTCTTCCTCACTCAGGACATCAAACTGGTTTTAATGGCGAGTTTGACGATCTTGGGTTCGATTATCACATGGCACTGAATGTCTTTACTCGTGACACTGGTCGTCACTACCCCAACATGCTTTCAGCCGGACGGCTACTATATGATCTTTAGGTTTTCCACTTCTTCATTACCCATTGTTTCCTTCCTCGTGACCTTTCTAGTGCTGAGTTCCTTCACCCATCCGATCTTTGGATCATCTCTAATGATAAAGTAGGCAAGCATATTAGCTATGCTTCCCTGGTCTTTGCTCATATGCTCCGCTTTGGTGATGGCAATTACAATGAGAAACTTCCCTTCGGTCCTATTATCACCCGCCTTCTTCATAGGCTGGGCATTGACTTGCAAGACAAGGTTACGATCTGCGATGTACTTGATGATCTCTGCCTAAATCACATCCTTAATCGTCTGGATATGGATGTGGGCCGTCGTAAGCCTATCGCCGGCTCAGGGGGAGACGTGGGCCATTTTATGTTCAACCCTTACATGTTGGTCAATGCCTTGGTAGATGCGGCAGCAATGTCAGTGGTAGGGATGGAAATGGGTCGGGTCGGGGACGGATAGTGCATATCCGTTACCCTACCCAAAGTAGTTCGGGTTTTACCCATACCCATACCCACATAAGAAACGGGTAGAAAATCTAAACCATGCTCATACCCGTTCGGGTTTCGGGTATCCACAGTAATCCGTGGGTAATGTTTCTCTTTATAACTCCAACCAATATGTTAATATTCACACCTATTGTCACGTTACGTAAGACGAAAAGTACGACAAGAATTCACTATAATGAAGAAATTGATTAAAATAACACAATTTCATAAAAAATATATATTTATATGCTAAATATAAAATTTGTTAGAGAAAAATATTGATTATTTCTAGAAAAAATACATATGCATGTGTATAATCGGACGGGTTCGGGTTGGATAGTGAGAAAACCATGCCAACCCATTACTCGCAATATTCGGGGTCGGGTTTTACCTGTACCCACTAAAAGTCTTTCGGGTTCGAGTTTTACCCTACCCGATTAAGTCGGATTCGGGCGGATATCCACGAGTACAGATATTTTTTACATCCCTAGGCAGTGGAGAAGGAAATCAATAAGTATCAGGAGGATTCTTCCAGTAGCAGCCCAGTGAAAAGAGGGGTACCTGCGGATTTGCTGAACGTCCAGGAACGTTTGAAGTTGCTGAAAGCTGAGCACAATGATCAGCCTGTCCTGGAACCCATCTCTGATTCAGACTCTGAGAACGGAGATGCTATCTCAGATTAAGATTCACCACCTGATTACCCCTTTTAAGATGTAGACAGCGTTGTCTAAACTTGCCTTGAAAGCATAGGCTGTATGATCAGGTTGCCTTGAGTCTGAATGGGGTTAGTTCGTGTTAAAATGTTGGTCCATAATGGATCTAATTTTAATTTTCATCAATAATGAATAAAATGAGTATTTGTGTTCTTTGTGCTTGGTGTGTTCTTTGTACTTGTCATGAATGTAAGTAGAACATGTTGCACCAACCGTTTGCTAAGTAAATGCAGGGTTCATGAAATGTCAACAAGAGCCATTGACAGGCTTAAGGGGAGTTTGTTGAATGAAGCCAGTCAACGGCTCTATGGAAAAAGAGTGAACAAGGAAAGAGAGGCCCAAAAGGATCTAAAACCAAAGAAGGAAAGGAGCTGCCAAGAAATCAAAGAAAGAAAAGAAGTTGTCCTGGAGAAAAAGAAGGAAAGGAGCACAGATTGTGGCAATCAGAATTAATAAAGGCTCCAACAGATGGAAAAGAAGACAGTATAAGAGAGCTAGGCTCTGGATGAAGGAAAGCCACTTTTCTGGAGATCAAATTGTCCGAGAGAGAGCATAAGGAATCTTGCTAGTGTAATTTGATAAGAAAATAGGGCTTGACGAATTCAGGGAGAATTTAGCTCAAGTGGGTAGTGTTGGGGAAACACTGTAGCTGGATAGCTGGATTAGCTCGACAGTGAGTGTTGAGAGAAATTTATGTCGGCTGAACCTCAAGATACAAACATCAAAATAGTGGAACGTTAGAAGTCACAAGATCGTGAACTTCTGACCGTGGATTAGTCGGCTTTGCACCTTGCTAGCCGTATACCACGTAAAAATATTGTGTGTCCTTGTGTGTGATTTGAGTTCCTTAATTTGTGTGTTGCTCTATTTTTAGTTGGCTTAAGAAAGTGCAGGAAAACAGAGGAGGCATCAAGGCTCGAGGAAGAAGAAGAAGCTCCCTCTGCCAATTCGCAAAACGCAACCTAACTTGTGAGTTTAGTTGTTCAATTATTAGTTGGGTAAGTTTGGTTTTGGGCTTAACCCATTGCGGCACAGTTTAAGTTATTTGGGCCTATGGCCTGACTTACTAAAACGGCAATTTGCACTTTCCCCTTTCTATCGATCAAATCCCTAGAACATTTGGCTTTCACTTGCTCTTATCAAAGAACGACGAAGGTTGTTGCAGGAATTGGATTAGCGACAAAATCGAAGCGATAAACCACACCTCGTGCAGAATCATCTCGCGCTCAATGATCCAACACAACAGTCTCTGAAAATCTTCTTGTAGCAAACACACTTGTTATAATTTTCTTGCGGCAACAAGAGCACATGCTATTGTTGCTGATCTCCCAGGATGTTTTTCCATACTTGTACAACTCATCTTTCACTTGATTCTTCACATAATAGGCTATATTCAATGGAATTAATATGTTAACCGCCTACATATATGAACCATTCTCAAGCGGTCATGTTGTGCTATACATATAGCCTCAAGACAACCTATAATTATGATGTCATGTAGCATGTGCTCGATGCTTCTGACTATAGTTTATACCTTGGTTAGATTACTTCTTCTGAAATTGCTTATTCAAAGCGTAATAGAAAAGAGGAACAATGTGAAACAATTTTACTCTTACCTCTGAATCATTGAGAGCCCAATCAAACTCACATGCAACCTGCAGTTGGAAATACAAACCATTTGGACCTTAATACTTATGTGTATCTTGAAAGTTTTCCCACTTATGCGAATGGGGTGAAGCCATATATGACAAATAAGTTCCTACATTTACAACTTCCTTGCCGCACGACTCGCCCTCTGCTACTGAGTTCAGTATATTGACCTCAACATGTTGGAGATGGATTTAGGCTTACCTCTAAATCAAAATAGCCTTATGGCAAGAAAATCCTTATAATTTCATGTTGATTTTCTCGACTCCAGATCATAGTTCTTAACACTAAGCTCATTACTTATTGTTCCCCATCCCTTCTCCCTTTAGCACGAAAAATTATTTTTTTGGTTCGTTCATATTAATAATTATATGCGAATGTTGATTATGTTCAAACTATAACAAAGTAAAAGTATCTTAGTTATAAAAATAAGGAGTTAAATTGGAAAAGCAATGGGATAAACAACTCATAAATTTTGTTCATTTTGCAATATGTTCAATTGAGTTTGGAGAGCATTAATGTATTGACAATCATTATATTGATCAACATACATGGATATGCTCCCTTGAACAAACTTCACATGTATATGTTGAACTAGAGGAGAAAAGACTAGCCAAGCAACTTCATGCCCATAAAAAAATTATTCTCTAATTATAGGAGAGTAATTGTCGACATTGTTATACAACATAAAGATGAAAATGCAAATGGCACATAAAAAGGCAATAAATAGCCATTGACTTTAAATATAAAGTCATATATCTACAATAGGGCTAGTTTGCTTGGATGACCCGACTCTTTTTTTCAAGATTGGTTTAATCTTCTCAACAAGCTTCACAATCCCAAAAAACATGAGCCGATAAACAACTACCATCCCAAACAATATAGCGATATCAACCCACTTAGAGTACCCCGTCTCTACTTGCCAAACACTCTTCAAAATTTCATCACCTGAGATGGAAGAATTAGCTCCTTGTTGAGGATTGGGGAATGTTAACCCTTCAAACTCGTTCTTGTAGAATCCTTGATTCGCATACTTGTGAAATGCGATGTAGTACATTGGGTACCTCCAAAAGGGATTAGGGAGGTCATTGGGTAGCCTGAAGAAACCTCCATTCAACATCATCACACCTTGAATTCCAGCTCCTGTTATGATCCCCATCAAGAAATCAGGCACGATGCTCGCCACCATCATCATGAGGCTCTCCACCAGCATCATTGTGACGAATAGCAAAAGTGCAAAGAATGTGAAGTGTTCGATGCTTTTCTGAAGTCCCACGAGATAGTAAGCTATGGCTCCTGGGATTAGTGATATTAGGAAGAGGTATGGAATGGAGGATAATGTGTTCCCAACCACGAATGCTCCAACTCCATAATGCCCATTTAGCCTCTCTCGCCCAAATATCTGATCATCATAGATGCACAAAGTCATTCATGTTTAGTAAAAAGTGAGGTTGTGGTTTATTTTTCAAATATATAATTGGAGACTAGCAGAAGAAAATGTTTTTTTCTCATGGTTGAAATATAACTTTGGATTCACTAATTATAGACTTATCAATGTAATTAATGAACTTGTTACTAAACTTTTAAATAATCAGGTTTGTGTTAGTGCTAACTAAGACAAATCACTATTAAATATACCACATGTAACTACCGATTCTAGAGCAATATTTGGCAATCTCGTTTAGCTCATATGTAATTTATCAAACTCGCTATCTCGATCCAATCACAAACCATATTACGTAAATTCTTAAACCCACAGTGATCTTTCCCTCCCTTACTCAACAGTTAGTTAGATACAATACATATACAGATATACCCCTTTTATTACTAAGTTGAGCGAGTTGACTCGTATAAACTAGAAACTTGAACAAAAAAATATCACAAAGATACGATCAAGAGTGTCTTAACCTAATTATTCTATAATTTAGAGACAAATTGGTTAAATAAAATTTTGGTGGCCTATTTGTTGATAACCTCCAAGTTTGGTGACCGATGTTAACTCTTGTATCGAGTTTGCCCCAAATTTACAGAGGCATATAAACAAGTCAAGTTACCTTCATATCCTCAACGAAAGAAGGGAATCCACCAATCGCCATGAAAGTCAAGAATGCTGCGACGAACATGAGCATTGCACCTCGAGCCTTCGAGCCACCAAAATTTGCATCAGTAAATTAATTTCATTCCATCAATTTCATAGATCTATGAGCTCTATTAGCGAAGAAAAGTAAAATACCTGAATTGAGCCAAAGCTAAAGCCAACATCATAGAATATAGTTCCAACGCATAAGCATAGTGCAATATAGATTGCAAGACGAAGCCAATAATAGCCAAGGTCACGATACATGTTCACAAAGGATCTCCGGGTAAGAACAGTGCATTGAGTGAAGAAGTTTGCCTGCCCTCCTTTCTTCCCCAAGCTTCTTCCTTTCTTCTGCAACCCCAACAAAAAAAAAAAAAAAGGATCACCTCAACATTTCCCTAATTGGAAATCTCTTTATCAAAGACAAATAAATAAAAAAAACCTTATTGAATTTGATCAAAGGTACCTGCTGGCATAAGCGATTAACATGTTGTTCAGTTTCCTGTCTAATCGCCGATGATTTGTATGAAGAAACAAGAATGTTAATGGCTTCCTCTGTTGTCACTGAACCACCGCGCCCTTGTTCAATGTCTTCCTGGTAACATATCATCATAACACACAAGATTTGAGAATGAAACTAATCACCACTTCAATGCAGGAGTATATATGAGTGAGTGATCTAATTACCTGATCGAAGTCCTTGTTGATGGTTCGAAGATAATGATCAGAAGGGTTTCTCAGAGTTGGACAGGGGAAACCATTTGAAGTGAAAAACTGTTCAGCCGAAGCAATAGGACCAAAGTAGACCGTCCTTCCAGAAGACAGAAGGCATAGGTTGCGAAAGAGCTCAAAAACCTCACTGCTAGGCTGATGAACTGATGCAACGACGGTGATCCCGTCGTTTCGAGCCAGCTTCAGAATCCTGCTCATGACGTGGTAAGAGGCCGCACTATCCAGCCCGCTGGTGGGCTCGTCCATGAACAACAACTTGGGCTTTCTCAGCACTTCGATGCATATGCTGACTCTCCTCTTCTGCCCGCCGCTCAGGCCCTTCACGGCCCACCCGCCGATTCTAGTGTTCACCGAATCCTGGAGGCCCATTTCCTTGATGACCATCTCTGCTCGCTTCTTTTTCTCCGCGATCGACATGGAATCTGGCAGCTGGAGTTGTGCTGAGTAGTACACTGCCTCTTTCACTGTTAGAGTCGTCATTAGAGTGTCGTCTTGTGTCACGTAAGCCTGAAAGACATAAGAATGAAAATAAAAAATGGTAAATTGTTTAAATATGACATGGTCAACTAAGTTCCACGACAAGTTGACCTCGTATTGCCAAAGTCAACTTCTAACTTGTCAACGAAAAACAAAACCCAGGGAAAATATATAGGTAGCCCGTCCATTACTATCATCTGTATATATATATTTTAATCAGGAAAGACCAAATTCGGAAGCAACTTGCCTAGTAAATTACTGTATATGTGCTCCAATTGGCAGCACCCAAAAATGAATAGAAAGGGAAAATGCTGCGACTGGGTCCGAGAATGACATACCGAGGTCCCATAGGCAAGCCTCTCTTTCCGACCGTTGATTAGGATGTCTCCACGTTGCTGCGCCGTTGAACTCAACCTTCCTACAATAGGTTTTTGGAAATAGATATAACGTATGATTTGGCTAATAATTAGTAATTACCCTAAAAATTAAATTAATCGTGCCGCGGGTTAATATATAAAGTATATGTTTGGCCCGGCTTTTAGAAGTGCTTTTCGACTTCAAAAGTTGAAGCAGAGCATAACACCTCTAAAAGTTCGACTTTTGAAAAGCTGAAAAACGCTTTTGTATAACATAAAAGCAGAAGCTCCGATTTGGAGCTTTTGCGAAAAACTGTTTTGAAAATACAAGATTATCCTTACCATATTTTAATTTTATTTCAGAAAATATAATTTTCCTTCAGTTATATCATTTTAAAAATAAAAGAAATTATAAAATTATATTATTTAATATAAAAGAAATCTAACAAGATTCATTTTTATCACTTTTTATTGTTTAAAATTTTTATTCATATTTAATATTATAAGTCCTTTATAGTCATTTTACACAATCGCTCATATTAAAAAGTACTTCTAATAGTTTTACAGCCAAACACTGAACTGCTTTTTTTGAAAAGTACTTATCTAAAAACTCCTGCCAGAAGTTGCTTGTGAAAAGCTACCAAACTAAGCTAAAGACAATTACCTGCCAAAGCGTCAAGAAGGGTGGACTTGCCGCATCCAGAAGGACCCATGATAGCAAGCACCTCCCCGGGCTCCGCGTATCCCGTCAGCCCTTCCAGGATCGTCAGCTGACCGCCGCCAACTGTAACGCACAGATCCTTCCACGTCACGGTAACGCCGCCGTCCTCCTCCGCCCCCAGCTGATCATCGTCGTCAGGATCAGCGTAATCATTGTTGATGTAGTCATGATGATGGTGATGATCTTCCTTCCGGGCCAGTACCACAGCTTCCATTTCCGTCGACAGAGTTGGTTCCTGATGATCGGAGAAGGGAAACGTTGCGAGTGCCACAGCTTCTCGGTCCTCGTCGGAGGACTTTTGCGGAGGCGATCTCGTCGGACTCGGCGTCCATCTCGGCACCTTATTATTGTTGTTGTTGTTGTTAATTGCACCCTCTGAATCCATCTTAATTCTCTCTCTCTCTCTCGAGATAAAGTTGGCTGATGGGAACAGTGTGTTTTAGGCTAGGTAGTAGTTGGAGTTGGAGGAAAGAGTGGTTTGGCGTATTTATAGCTGGTGGAACGCATTAATTAAAACATTGACGCAGCCGGCTGCCGACGAAATTAGGAGAATGGAACCCATGAGTATTAATAATAACGTGTATTGATATTTGATCCCACTAATACCATCATTCGGACGACTTGTCCTGAATTCGACAGTACACAATAATTGATATTCAAGGGATAGATATGCTTTTTAGAGAAAATAATAATGACACGTAATGGGACAGACTGTAAGACAAGTTGGACTGAAGGTAGGAAATTTACGAGGCAAATTAAAGTGTAGCGCAGCAAAACGAGCCTAATCAGAAACGATAAGCAAAGGATGAGCGAAATTAACCAAATACAATATAGCCTGTGCGAAATTAACAATGCACTAAGTATATGAAATGACCCAAATCATTTGTGAAACCAAGGAGGAAGATGGTTTGTGAAATAGTACCGTACCGACGGTTTAGTCGCAAAATACTAATACTCGAGGCTAAACTTGTAAGCGATATTTAATAATATTAACGGTTGACCTACAATTAAATTACGGTTTTATCATAAAATATTCTACCGGTGATTTTCTCGGTACAGTTTCACAAATCTTGAGGAGAAATGTATTGATCCCATACACACAGCATTTCCCCCATAAGCTTTTCTCCAAAAAAAAATTATTAAAGATCGTTTGATACCAAATGAATCGAAAATTCATTTCAATTTTAAAAAAATTACTTTGTAAAATTCATTTGCAATGAATTCTTGTATTTGGCATATAATATTCTATTAGAGTATGTGTAGTACGAGTAGCATTGTGTTATACTACGAGTACTAGTATGTAATTGGGTAGAGTTATATTCCTTATTAGAGTCGTAGAAGTTAGGTTATTTTCCTATTAGTGTTAGGGTTATTATAGAAGTCAGGTTATTTTCCTATTAGTGTCGTAGAAGTTAGGTTATTTTCCTATTAGTGTTAGGGTTATTATAAAGTTATATCCCAAACACATGCCGCTTGTTTAGTCCTGCCTTATACAACCTGCAAGTAAATTCAAACATGAATTAGACAAAAGATGTAAACTCAATGCTAACACAATGTTTTAAATATATGTACCTTGGTTGAGGTTCATGAACCACAAACAGCAGTAACGTCTCCATTCTTCAGCTTCCATAACTAGCACAATGACATTGGACTGTGGAGCAAATTAAACATATAAATAGTTGTTGAAACCAATATTCTGGGTTAGTCTACCAATACGACAATGAAGGGCTTCCCTAAAAACAATACGACACAGCAGAGACATTACAATTCAACATACAGAAAAAAACAGACAACCAATCTATAAATTCTATATCAACCTGAGCAACAAATGTCAAGCTAGGCACATCTTATATACCCGAGTGTTCTTCTGGTCGAGGGTCTCCTCGAGGAGGATCACTCCACTAAGGTACTGGGGGGCACTAGGGGTGGTGAAGAGGAGCTCAAGGAACATCGAAAACCAATATCTTGGATTATATGATATGATCCCAAGGGATACAAACACCATGTATTTAAAGAGGACCCAGACTCAGAGATTTGAAACCAAGACTTACATTTATGTCATTTGCAAGGAAAAGAAAATCTTGCATGCTTAACCACATCTCTTCGTACCTCCTACATTTAGCTTTTGGAAGCTTAGACAATGATTTACCAACAATGTCCACACAATCTTTTGTAAGAACAACTTCAGGAAGATCTGGTTCGGGGAAGTATCGGTAATCAGCTAGCCCTTCCTTTTTCCTCATTGTAACAATTTTCTGAACAAGAAATAGTGTTGGATCAGCTGCAGTTGGATTTGCAACGAAAACCATCCCACCCCTCCCATTATTTCCTCATGTCTTGATCTAACAATGAAATCAATAGTAAAGATACAACCTGTTCACCTTCTTCCCAAAGACAAGTTTCCTGTACAATTGAGTCTTGTTGACCTTGACTATGGAGATTGACCTGTCTTTATATCTCAAAGTCAATAGGTTTGTTAATTAATGAAAATGAGTTCAAAGTATATCAGGGAGGCCATGGAGCAAATACAGTCATCAAACACAAACTTTTGAGAATGCCAAATCGAAATCATCAACCTTTAACACACAACGCAACGAACCTTCTTGAATTTACCATTACTGACTTCTAAGTTCTAAGTACTAAATAACCCTTTGAAGTTCTGCAGCATACTAAGAAGCTTCAATGCCAGTTCTCATATCTGGTTCTGAGACGATCTCTAACATTGGGACTCCAAGCACCACTATGCAATAGATTTGAAAGAGAATGGGAAAGAAATATTACTTAGTTTCATTATTTATTGTCCAAGGGATGCAATAAGAAGATTATACCTGAGGCTGAGAGTTCTGAAAAGTATTGATGTAGATGTCACTGGATCTGTCTCATGAGAGCAGTCTCTTATTTCCTAGCTTCCCCAATCTGTACCACTACTGTCCAATGATTACATCACATGATATGAGTGGAATCGGATCATATATAGCCTAGGGAATGCTTCTTACTTGTAATAAGAAGGAGAAGCTCCTTGGATGAAGATAATTGTTTTTTCTGCATTCACGTTGCATCTACCCATTTGGTCCACGTTGTAAAAGCTCTCTTAAAAGCACGCATTCGATCCATGTCCTCGGAAATGGTTTCACCATCTTGTGAAATTCCTTACTTGTCTCCAAGAATTTCGTACGTGCACAACAACACTCATTGAACGAAAGGTCTGTTTGTCTATTCTGAAATGGCTTCCTGGGTCTACTTGAGACAACCTGGAAATCTGCTACAAAATATGGAAGAAATGAGATATTTCCATTTTATTAAAAGAATATAAGTCTCAATTGGTATTTTGGTTCCATGCAACTGTTCTAAAGCCACATAGAAAGAATGAACCATGAGATTAATCTATAAATTCAAGGCTATAGAGTCAAAATAAATTGAAAATTGTAATGCACAAAAATACACGTGAACATCAACTTCACTTTTCAGTCCTACCAACTCACTTTTCAGTTCCACCACTTCACTTCTCAGTTCAACCACTTCAATACCTAGAGTGACTACCTCAGTAGAGCATGATGTCGAGGTAGAATTTGTTGAAGCTGAGGACAAAGAAGGCACAAAATAGGTCGATGGGTCCCATGCCAGCATAACGAACCCTCCTAGGATGTTCTGGACCATGTAGCTTCTGAAAGATTTATTCATTATTAGTAGACCCTTTCTGTCGAAGAGTATGCGCCTTTTCCTACACAAAATTAGTAACCAAGTATAAACCATATCAGGTTGTAAGATTAAATTTGTTGGGTTAAGATGTACATATATTCTAATTCATGCACATAATCAGTATTCAACAATTGTAAGAATTTAAAAAGAACAAACTCTCTAAGTTGACAGAAGATGGAGGAGAAGACGTGAAGGTTAGGGTGCTGCAAATTAAATGTTTTTAGGGGTTGGAGTTTTTTCTACTGCTTTCAGCTTGTATTCTCAAATCGAGAGAATGAATGGAAGTCTTTTAATAGGAAAATTAGTGTTGAGGTTACTATACACTCAGCAGCAACAGACAGTAAAAATAACACATAACAACAGCCAACAAATTCAAAGGAAACCCTGAAATTAGAAGAAGCGTACCTTGAAGGAGATGAGTATTGCAAGGAAGAACCAAACACATATTGACTGTAAAATCCCTCTTTTAGCCTACAATGTGCAGAAAGGAAAAAAAAAAAAAAGAATTCGTCAATGCTAAGTAGCTGAACATATGATAGGATATTCTGTCTTATAATCATTTCTGAACTTGTGATATCAAGTTGCCAAACTTGTTTGTCCGATAGCATAACAGGAAAACCTATAACCTCAATTACATAACATCTTAAGGAGAACCCCCAACAAAAATAGACAAAACAATCCACTAACATCAATGCTAACCCACCAAACAATCTCTACTAATTATACAAACTCAAACGGTATATTATATCAACAGATTTCCGAGCAATACTGCACAATGAATCTATGAACTTGATTTTTCAAGGACAAGAATGATCAGCCACATGCACACTCAAGCTAAAAGGACGAGGACAATAGAATATCTAGGTACATCTTCCCACAAAGTCATGGACCCGCAATAGCTAAGAATGACACAAATTAGTTTTGAAGGTAAATGTGCTGGCAGCCAAGAATGACACTGATATAGTAAACTTTACATGCTATATTTGTTACCTTTTTTCAATTTGATAATGGGATGAAAGCTGGATCATCTGGATGCTAAATCTTCATTGGATAGAAGTTACGTTACAGCCAAGTTCATGTCGACAACTACTTAATAGTATATTAAGCAATCTTGCTCCATAGAGGGAGCATTGTCAGCATCATTCTTTATTCTTGGGAGCATTGTGATCATGGTCACTCTTGCTGCATAGAGGGAGTAGTAATTATTCTTCTGTTGCACCCTACTTTTGTTTCGAGTGAAATGATGTACGGTAGCCACATTCGTCTCTTATTTTTGGTTCATTTTCACTTCTGTGGTAGCTACTAGATAACTTCATTAGCAAAACCTATATCTGTGGGAATTAATTCTCTCCTAAAGTTCGAACAGAAGTCCAAACAAACATGTTTTCTAGCCTGGTAGTAAGGTTCGCGAGCACTGTGGCACTAAGTAACCCAACACTATACACCTGAAAAATCACGTCTAAAGTTGAGCTTAAAATTTGCTACTTCAATACTGCAACCAGACCTTCTATGAACTGATAAATAAGTCAAATACCCTCTGCAATTCCGAAGTAAGTCTTTTGTGAGAGGTCCTAGGGACATATAATCCTAGTCTTAGGGCCAGGTAAATTTGGTTTACACTACACGATAGATCAGCGTACCAGAACCTCACAACACCACAAGATTGATAAAACATATGAGGAAACTCAAAGTTCACCACAAGTTTCTTAAAGGTGATATAAAACCTTATAAAGTTGACCATAAGTCCCCTAAACCAGA